GAAATATTTTAATGAAATTCAATGCAGTGATGATTGTGGACATTAAGTGAGTCGCTGTTTATCAGGAGTCAACGTGTTTCCTCTCATATGTGAAGCTGCTGTTTGGTTTTGGGCCATTTAGAAGGGTCGCAGCTACATTTTCAGGCAAAGTCCTTTTTGGTTTTAATTTAAAGAAGCTTTCACTTTCTAGCTGTCCTCCTCCTCCTCCTCCTCATCGTCGTATTGAAGGACTTACTTTGTACAATAGAGCTCCTCTCTATCCCAAAGCCTTAATTTTCAAGGTGTTTGTGCAACTTGATCAGGGTTTTTCTTTGTTAGTTTTCATATCTCCCACATTTTCCTCAGTCTGTGCTTGCTGCTGTGACTGTAACTGAATGTACATGCTGTGCTGTGATACTAGTTTTTATGAAAAATCTGTGACTGTGCTGTTTGGTTTTATTTATTTAAATACAAGTAAGGGATCGATTCTGTTCCTGAGCTTGTGGAGATACATGTGTGCCTAAAATCGGTGTGAGAAACAAAACATGCAGATAACAGAAAATTATTTTGGAAGGCCATAATATTAAGAAAAGATCACAACAAAAATACAAACAGCTTGTAATCACTAATTTCCTGTCTTGGACATGTCGTAAACACCGAGAGACACATTTAACTTCATATCAGCTCGGTTTTCTTAAACTCTGTGACACAGAGTTTGAGGCGCTCCTCAGCCTGCTGACTGTACACTTCTTTGCTCGTGTAAATAATCTGTATAGCTGTAATGTAAAACCAGAGTCTGAGCCATTTGTCACAGAAAAAAGGTTTATTTAAAAATAAAGTTGTATCCCTCTTACTCGTCAAGAACAGTGAAAACAAAACCATTGTGTTACCACTTTTCACTGCTGTCCTGGGGTTTCTGACTTTTAACTGAGAGCAAAACAAATCTTCATCCATGTTGGTGTGTGTGTAGCAGAATTCATACAATGGAGACATTCAATGCTGAGGTCAAAACAGATGAGATATGCTGATTTATTCTGTCCAAACTTTGCTGATGGCTTGGCGCTCTGAGCAGATTCCTCCAGAAACCAAACATCCTATGATCTGATCAAAGATGTGCTCTGAACAAGCCCAGCTAACAGAAAAGAAATAAGGCTCTGGCTGCAGCAGAAGGGGTTTAGCTAATCACTTAAGCAGGCCTCAGAGTCATGGTTATTAAGAAGCGACTGTGAAGGGTTCAAAATATTTGCTTATTCGCTGAAAAAGGAATCGTGCTGGGTATCACTGTTGGTTTAGCACGAACTCAAGCATTCCCACCTTGGATATGTACGAGCTTTAAACGCTGGTGATATTCTACCTTTAAAAAATAAAAAAATAAATCATGACCAAGTTCCATAAAAAGACCAAAACCATCAATGAACAGTTTGCTCCAGCAACTCTCTTATGCATGTGCCGTTTAGTTTGACTCAGTCCCATCTGCTACTCTGTCCTCATGTTTTAAGAATGGCTGCTAAGCGCTACAGTCCAGTAATCATCCTGTGAGTCACTCAGTGCTTGTGTGCACTTGTCATCAAGTGTGAAATGTGGTCCTGGAGATACTAGTGAGACTATTTTGACGCCGTTTAAATGTGCATTAAAGATGAAGAACCACGGGTGCACGGTTGATTTAAACGATGTGTGTGATCACACTGGTCTAAACATTGACATATTCAGTGCTACTAAAATACAAGGCTTCACTTACAGCCCTGATTTTCTTTTTGAATTCTAAAAAAACCCAAAATGTCACCATCCAGGCTGATCTATTAGCTGACAATCTTTTATTCTGAAAGTTACTTCAATTCAGTTTCAGTTATATAACCAAATCACAACAACAGTGACCTCAAGGTGCTACAACACAGAGAACCCCAACAACTTCCCATGGGCAAGCACGGCCCCCCATGGGCAAGCACGACAAATGGCTCCTGGCTCGTCTTTCCTAGCAGGCTTGATAATGGTCAGCTGCTTCTTGACTCAGTCAGATGTACTCTAACTCCTCTTGGACTTTCATTTCAAGTAGAAGTAAAGAAGTACCAGCTGTGGTTTGACAAAAACTGAGTCGTCTGCTCGATGACAGAGTCACTGGAGAGGCAGCTGATTATTGCTTCATTATTTATTGTAGAACAGCACATGCTGTGACGTTTCACAATTCACTGATCAAACTGTAGGTATGCCCCCTTTTAAATGTATGCCCCTGAAACTGATTACTGGACTCCAGTTTTACATTTTTAACAGGAACCAATGTGGAAACTAGCGATTTGCACTAATGCACTGTTGGTTTTGGTTTTTTTTAAATGGGATTTGTTTTGAAGCACCACCAGATGCTTTTCGTGAAAGTTTAAAAACCACTCTTTTTTTTTTTTCTTTCTTCAAGCTTGAAGCCACTTGTGTATCCATCACATGTGCTGCAGGTCATGTTTAGAAAGGACCAGACAACTATGAGTAATCAGTTTAAGGCATTCAAAATCAGACATCCCATTTATTCTACATGTGCTGTGATCATCTGATTCCTCTTATTACTGACTACTCAACTGGTTAATCGCATTACTATCACACATGTGAATCCACTGCAGAGCTTGACTGGTAAACATGATGAGCTGACACCGCTTTCTTTCTTTTTGACTTTAGTTCTGAAAAACAAAGAGCCTATCAGTTTTATCACTTTCCCAAATATCTTCATCAAAACAATCTTAAGATGTGGACAGCCAATTTAAATTTCTTAAAATGAATATAAATCAAAAAACAAACAAAAAAACCCAACCTGACTCTGATGTTGCAGAAGTAAACATGTATAACAGAGTAACGTCACCCTGCCACAAATAGCTCACCAACAGTCGTCAAACAAAAGCAGAACTGAAGTTAAACCACAAAAAGGCACGTCATGTTTTTTGAAACACTTAACTTGGCGGCAGATCGGTGACCTGCTTAACAGGGTAAGAAAAAAGAAGAAGAAAAAGGCGCCATTCAGGCTGAACTGAAACATGTGCAAACAGAAACAACAGTGAAATGAAAGCAAAGCACAAAGTGTACGAGGCTCATTTCCCCACAAAACAAGCATGTTTGTCCACTACTGTCTGCCTTACAGAGAGCGCGATGAGAGTTACGTTTAGACTGGAAAGTTTAAACCAATCTTTGTGTCATTTAAGCTCTTTAAGGAATAAATAATCAAACATTTGATAAGATATTTTCTATACTATACTTTCTAGAATGATCACAAAGCAGCCAGCCAGACAGACACAGGCCTGGCTTAGGTACGTAAATCCATTTGAGACCAAATTCTGGTGCAAAATAAAAATGCTCCAATATTTTATTTTTCTTGCTTTTTTTGGTCTCATATCACAGCTGAAAGCAGGACAGCAGAAGACAAAGTCTCCTTCTCTTTATTCATACACCTAGAGACAAATATGCTTTTTTTAATTACATTTAAATTACCCTCCATAAATAAAAGTCAATAAAAAGGGAAACAAAAGAAAAGACACCCATCCTATAAATAAAAAAAGAAAGATTTCCAGCCGAACACAGCGATAAAGATCTGTATACAAAATAAATACAAAAGAAAACCTTTAAAACTCATATGAACAATATACAGTGTTACTAATATCATGTTAAACCTCTGATTAACTTAGTGCATTTTTTCCATTCACCACAAGAAATACAAATCTCATCTTTTTTTCCTTATTTATATTTTTTTAGCAAATAAACAGGCAAATTAAGATCCTAACGATTATCCAAAGAAAAGGAGGAGATGCAAGGCGTAGCGCCCGCCGCGGAGCTCTTTGTTGACATGTCTGTGGTGCGTACAGTATGCTGCAAAGGATTTACAGCGGTCGTGTGGAAGATGGGAGACAAGTGTGAATCTGTTTTGTCTTTTTTTTTTTCTTAGTCTTTTTTTAAAAACAGTTTACTACACAAAGACATGGACGAACATCTCTGTAAGTAAGGATTTTGTGTTTCTCTACGAGTCTTCGGAACAACGTGTTGACAGTAAGGCTTCCCAGCCTTTTGCTGCAAGGTGTTACCGCTGCTACTGATGACGGCTATCGTCTACGACTCGACGTCACAACACAGAGAACGAGCGATGTCATTTTGGTGCGTGCCTAGTGCCGGATGGTGTGCTTAAAACAGGCAGACAAACAAAAAAAAATTACAATTCTCTACTGGCCTTTTGCAGAAACACTCACAGACACACACAGTCCCTCATCTTTACAACGTTTTAAAACACGTGTGCAACTTAAATGTATGAAAACCGAACACGACAGTCTTGAATTTCCTCTCTTTTAAGGGTGGGGATGAAGATCACGGAGTCTGGTGAGGATGCATCAGGAAACGATCGAAACTGCCAGGATAAAAATCTAGATTTCTACTTTTACTTGTCCAATCTAGTCAAGAGATGAATGGGTTGGTTACAGTGTAAATCTGATTACAGCCCACTGTGTTTGTGTGTGTTTCTATGTGTGTGTGTGTGTGTGTATGCTGGGGGATGTGGGCCTTCAGCGGTGCCGGTCCAGTGCAAACCTACCTAAAAATAACAGTTTCAGATTAGAGCAGGGGTGAGATGGACGGAAGGGTGGAGTGGAGGGGTGGAGGGTCACCGATATGTGCAGTCCACCTCATCTGCTGCGACTTCGTACGACTCCCTTTGTTGATTCAAGTAAATCCACGCCACTTCCAGGCCTCATAGCGCCACCTGCTGATGAAGGTGAGAGTTGGCAGATGCTCCGGTCAGCTGCAGGAGTGCTCCTCCTCCAGCTACCGGAGGAAAACAATAAATATGAAGAGCGAGCTCAGTCCTGTGATTGTTCTTTTTGTCCTGTTGTTGTCACAAAGGAGTCTGGTTTGTGTGTTTGATAGCTGCATGACTGCTCGGGAATGTGCGTCTCCCTCAAGCACACTCCTTGAAGCTGCTGTACATCCGCCCACCACCGCCCCCTCCCCGATCACCGCAATCCCATCTGATTCCTGACCCTCTGTCAGCCTGGGTGCTGCTGCTATAGGCAGTCTTTGCACAGCGCCACCTGGCCCTTCATGTAGTCACGGCAGGGACAGATGCGCTGCAGTGTCGAGTGGGCGCCGGCGCAGCTGAACAGCAGCAGGTCCGACTGGAAGATGCAGTGATGGCGAGTCTCGCTGTATGCGGGCACAACGGTGTCGGCGCTCGACTCCACCGTTTGACAGTCCATGCCAAACCTGACGGAGAGACGGACCGCTTTAGATTTTATTTTTAAACACTTTTTTTAATGTGAAGGAGAGACAAGAAGAGAAAACACATGCACACACTGGTGTCTTTGAGCTGCAGGCTTGATAATCCATTTTTCTTCTGTAACTAAACTCAGCCCACTAGTGGTCATAACTATAACTGCAGGTTTCAGCAGCTCATCAGAGAATGATAAATGCTCACATGAGCTTAAGCCTGTGTCGTGCTGCCACCTAGTGGCCACTAGTATTGAGGCAAAGTATGTGTCCCACCTGGCCAGGTCTTTGTCCTTGTTAAGGTGCTGGAAGAAGGAGGGCTCACAGATGAGCTGCTCCTCCTGACAGACCTGCTTGCAGGAGTGCCCGGGCTCTGCCAGCTTCACTTGCAGGGCGCTGAGGGGAGGCCACATGACCTGACCGTGACAGAAGTCCTGAGGACACAACATGATGTTAAACAACAGGAGTGCAAAAAGGAGGAAAAAGGAAAAGGAAAAAAAAAAACGTAACTCTGTAATACCTGTATGCTTTATGTAAAGAAAGTAAAAATAAGTTAGCTCTGCCGCTCTTTAAACTAACTTTCATATAATTAAAAAGGTTTAAACGGGAGGTGGGCGGGGCTTCTGTGCTCGGAGATTACAGAGATCCAAGAGCTTAAAAGCTGACAGAAATGAAACGTGTAGTATTCTTCGTACACGTGCCGACCTCATTATTTAAAAAACATGTCCGTCTTTAATATGATCTTCCAACACTGTAACACAATATGACAGAAAATAAGAGCAAAATTAATCTGAATAAAAGCATTTTGTTGGCATGTTATACCTTTAATTTGAAGATAACAGGAAATGATCAGGGAGATGACAGAAAGGTGTTGGCCTACCTGTCAAACTCCATTAAATTCATCTTTATTGTAGATTTTGTTCATTTCATGGGATGTTTTGATCGCTCTTATAGCTTCTGCTTCCTCTCATATTTCATTTTGCTTTGATGTCTACTTGCTGTAAATGCTTATGTTGAGTTATTTCGACAGGCTTTAATCTTTGAATTTTAATCAGCGGCAGCTGAACTTGCTGGTTTTGAAAATCTATACGGCCCTGGGGACGCCAACCACAGCTGAGGGTGGCATGAATTAAAGCCCGACATGATTTCATTCTGACTTGTGTGCACGTGGAAAAGATGGAGAGGCGCTCTGCAGAGGCAGTACCTGGTTCTCGATGAAGGCGTTCACTCTCTGCAGCATCCCCTCGCAGGTGAACTCATAGGGCAGGTAGGGCTCAATCTGAATAACACAAAACACAGACTGTTAAAACACGTGCAGGGCGAGGGAGCTTGTAAACTCTTGTGCTCGACAGTGTTTCTATATGATGACGCTCAGAGAGCTCCTCCCGGTGAAGCGTTAGCTTGCTGTCTGATCTTTGCGCCGCTGAAGGAAACTTCAAACGGGGGACAACCAACAACTGCAGCCTTTGTTGCTGAACTGAGTCGCTCCGTGCTCCATCTGAGCTTTTGGCTGCTGGGAGGAAGCAAGGATGAGGAGAGGGGAAGGGAGGGGGGGAGCAGGAGGAGAGCCGGAGCCTGGTAGGCTGCGTCTCGCCACGGATCACGGCGCATATGAGGCTCTGTGGGCTCGTCCAGTGAACACAGGCATTGTTCTGACCAGCTCGGCGGAGTACAACAACACAACGAGGTCCTGAGTCCAGTTTTAAATATGCATGGGCCCGGACCAGGAGACGGAACACGATATCTCCATCAATCCTCCTGCGGCTCCAACAAGGTTTTCCTTAACGACTAACCAGCCAGGACGCCATTTACACAATCACACCCTCTTTTTTGCTCCGTGTTAAGACATGTGAGGCACACTTGCTTTTTAACTTAGAAGAAGAAGATTTGAAGATTTGAATTTTTCAGATTCATTCACTGCAGCTCATCATATAAGAAATCTATGAAAGCAGCTGTCCACATTTTTAGTCAGTAAACAAATTCATTCCCTCTTCACACCAAATACTACAGCAAAGGGAATGGAGGCATTAATGTTAGTTAAAAAAAAGCTAACTCACACTCTTTTCAAGTCCAGCCACAAGTTCTCGATCAGACTGAGATCTGGGCCAATCCAGAACATTCACCTTGTTGTCTGTGTATCATTTCTCTGCTTTGGTGCATATTTGTCTGCATTCATGTCCTTCTCTGCCTTTACAGGCCTTCCAGGGCTCACTGCTGAGAAGCACCCCCAGAGCATGATGCTGCCTCCACCATGCTTCACAGTGGAGATGGTGTATTTGTGGGGTTGTCCATTAGACTAGATGCTACAGCATCTAGTCTAATGGACAACAAGCTCAAATTCTGTCTCATCAGGCCAAAGAACCTCAACTGGACAAATCATCCCAGCAGTTGGAAATCTTTTTGTAACCATGTCCTGACTTTTACTTTTCAATCTGTTCTCTGAGTGGCTTAGAGCACTCTTTTGTCCTCATGTTGCAATTGTAGCAGGAATACTAAAAAAGAGACTGGACCTCCCAGACACAGGAGGTTTTATGTCACAATCACTTGACACATCAACACAGGTCCATTTCACTAACAGTGACACTGCTGGAATCAAACATGTTTATGTAGAGCAGCAAGAAGGTCTGTACAACAAACAAGTGTACACTGAAGCTCATTTAACTTCTTTATTCATTAACCCCCAACCGGTCGCGGCAGATGGCCCCGCCCCTCCCTATTGTGGAAAAAGTGGTGATGCTTAAGAGAGAAGACTGGCAGCTTAAAAAAAAAGCACAAGAATTTCACAAGTGAAGAAATTGAAAGAATAGTGTCAGAGGATGAAGCTGGAAAAAGCACACCTTTGGGAAGTGCCTGCGCTGCAATACAGATCAGGTGAATGTTGTGTCCTCTGAGATTCAGACAGCGGCTCGGATGGAGAAAAAAAAAGAGAAAAGGTCTGACATTTAACTTGATAAGGGGGGTAAAAAAAAGAGTAACTGAAAGAAAAAATAAAGAAGGAAGCAGGTTGAGAAGAAGGCGCGTCAGATCTGTCAGCTCATGGTGAGAGACTCACTGCAATTACTGACTGAACACCCAGGAGCCAGGCACTGGCAAGAAATGAAGGTGAAAAGTGCTGAAACCCAGTGAGGATGAAAGGGGCATAAAAGGGAATTTGAAGATGACTTGTTGTGTTTGTATTTAAGTTCATTTAAGGTATTAAAGTCTGTCAGTTAAAGCTTGCTGAATGTGCAGCGCATTTAGTTAAAAGATGTTTGCAGCTATGCAGCAGTAGGGCCGAAAGCTTGTGTGTCTGTACAGCACCTAAGGGGCTTCTGCCCTTGTTGTAGAAACAAATATGCAATAACATTTGTGAAATTGCACCAAATTTTAGCTTCTTTCAGTCGCCCGCGGTTACCTTTTGGCTGAGGATGGAGCGGATGGCCCTCTCTACTTCGGCAGAATTCTCGATATCCACCGTCCACACGTGGGGCCGACCGATGTACACCTCGGCGTATGGGTGCTGAGAGGTCAGCTGCAGGCAGCAAAGCAGAAATGAAAGGGGTAGGGGGGAGGGGTTAGGAAAATCAAACGATTTAAAAGTTATGGGTCGAGCTGCGGGGGACAAATCCTGCACTCCTCTCACCTCTCTCAGGGTGGGTTTGCCCTTGAAGAAGTCTGTGTTCTTGCTGCTCTTCGAAGGGTTGAACTTGGGGTTGAGGAAGGCACAGCCGTTGGCAATGGCCTCCAGGGGGGCGGGACCCTCGTAGGGGAAGGAAAGACCCACAAACAGCTGCAGAGGAGAGAACACACACGGCTGTCAGGCTCCATAGGCTGGATATCAACACACACAAGTCAGTAAGGAGGAGGCATGTGTGAACAGCAGTGTGCAGGTCCTGAAATAAGCACAACTAAAGGTGCCGGTGGGAGGAGGCAGAGGGGCGCCGAAGTTTACTGGCTGTGTTGAGGAGTCGCCAATAGTGCCTTGTAGAAACAAATCTCCCCTGTTATCAGCACAAATTGTGACGGAGGCAGCACATTTTCGCCATGAAACAAGGGAGGGAAAACAAGCCCGATAATATGAAGACATCACTTTTACGTTTACTCCTCCCACGGGGCTGAAGGAGTTTGATATCTTAGGCGTGGAGGTACATAACAGCTCAGCAATCAAATCAGATAGTAAACGATCATGGAAACTGGCAAAGACACCTTAGAACCGCCTTTCAGCTCTGAAACGACTCATTTAAACCAAGGTTTATGTCTTTTAGGTGTTTCTTCGGCTTGTTTGGCACCACATTAGCCATTACTAACACAGAAATACGTAATTTTTCTACTCAAACCTCTAAGCCTGGTTCTGCTGGAGGTTTCTTTCTGTTAAAAAAGCGGTTTTCCTTCCTGCTGTCGCCATGTGCTTGCTCAAAGGTGGCGTCTGACAATTTTCCACCACCATGTAGTAAACATGTAGTTTTCCATATTAAACAAAAAAGAAGGCTCTGTACAAGGAACGAGTGGCTTCTCAGCACTGAAAGTAAAACTGTGACATTCCACAAAACCTGACGGCCGACCGGGACTCTGGAAGTTTCTGGGTGTTTATGCTACGGTATAGTGTCTCCACTGTTTGTGCTTAGCCAGAATCCCAAACATTTATTTCAGTAAACAGTGAAAACGGGTGGAGGGTTCTAGAAGCAACTTTTCTTCTCCTGAGTGGAAAGAAAGCAAATATTTGTGGAGCTCGCCTGCATGAGTAGTGAGACAGCAATCGAGAAACTGAGAGGGGAGGCCGGGTGCCAGCTGAGTGGCTTATTGAGTGGAGCCAGCTGGCTGACACAATGGCTTATCTGTGTGTTTGAGTCGGTGTTACATACACACGCTTTCTTTAAGTGCACAATGCAGCGCTGTGTCATGAGGTATGCCTGTAGTCACATGAATAATCAGACCTGTGGAGTGAATTCTGCTCTTTCAGCTGTGAGTGTTACTGAAATATTTCTGCCAACAGGTGGCAGCAAAGCACGTGCGTTCTTTAATCGCATGCATGCAAAGGCTCCTGAAAGCTGCAAACCAGTCAGCTGGTACTTGTAGGGAGAGGACCCAGAGGGGAGAAGAGCTGAGATAAACACACTGAATAACTCAGGTGGGAGTTTATGACTAACGCTTGCAAATTGATTGTAGCTAGATGTGAATGGATTTAAAAAACAAAAACAAGTTTATAGCACTGACCCACAATCTCATCATTAGTTTACAACGGCTCTGGAGTCCCGTGGTCATGGACAGGCTGACTTCAACACCATGCAGCTCTCCACATGAAAGCTGCTATCGATTTGGACCCCTGAGGAAACATCCTGCCTTACTCATGCAAAGGACACACACCTACGACACGAGAAGATTTCATTTCTGCTCTCATCGCTCAGCGTTAAAGTCGAGGGATGCAACTAATGATTATCTGCAGAACATCTGAAGGAAAAAAGTAGCATCAGTGCTAACAGTCAAATATGCATGAGGGCAATGCGGGAGTCTGTAACAGCAACTGTACAAAATATACAATTATTGTAAAAATAATCAACAGAAATCAATCACATTTTACCATGAGTACTTTCTTACTTAATAGAAATGATTGCTCAGTAACTATGCGCTCATGATAAAATATTGATATTGAATGGATAAAATATGATTGATTTCTGTTGATTTTTTTTTTTACAATAATTGTGTATTTTTTGTGTGTATGCTGTTAATGAAAAATGTGTTTTTGTTGTGTGAACATCCTGTAGTGTAATCACTGGAGCCTCAAAACTTTGCCTTTAAGCAACCTGACTACATGTAAATGTTCTGTAAACGCAAGTACATTCAAAAACTTTAGATTCAACTAGAATCTGGTCAAATTTAATGGATTTCATTGGTATACATATGCATATTTTCCTTAAATAAATAAACCTTGGATTTCATATATGTCAGCTGCATTTTACTAAAAATATTAATGAGGGCCAAGAATAGTTTTTTTTAAATACCAGTAGCCGTCTCTGAAAGCACTTAAATGTTGTAGGGAAGAACAGCAGTTACTGTAGTACAAGTTACCTGTAGTTATTAAATATCAAAGATCACTTCCTTTACCAGTTTTTTTTTTTTTTGGCTTGTTTGTTTTAAACACTTTCAGAAGCAGCAGCATAAACGTCCTCAGGGTTTTTTGCAAGCCTTGACAAAATGATCAGAAAAACAGTTTGAACGGGTGAGTGAAAGTGAGACTGTGCATATAAGAAGTTATATAGATATGAAAATATCATGTATCACCTTGCAGATGTGGTTTGAGGGCGGAGGGAGGGGATTTTTTTTTACTAATAAATGTGACGCGCTCATACACTAAAAGTTAAACTCTTATGATCAAATAAATGTTCTACTCTTAGAATTTAGTCAGGAATTAAAGTATCTGCTCTCTTTGACATCACACAGAAACACAGTGGATGAAATGGAGACTAACGGACACTTTAGATCAGCCTGAGCTTTCGGCTAACACCTTTATGCACTGAGCACATTGAAGATTTTTGATGCAAATTTGTCGTATAACATCGAAACAGTTGCGATTTTACTAAAGTTTTGCCAAAATCCACCCAAAAATGCACTATGATTAAACTGGAGTCAACATCAAGCGATGGTGAGCTGGTCCTGATGCTTCTAAACACTAATCTGGCTGAAGAGTTGGGAGTTCGCCTTGTAATCGGAAGGTTGCCGGTTCGAGCCCCGACTCGGACAGTCTCGGTCGTTGTGTCCTTGGGCAAGACACTTCACCTACCGCCTACTGGTGATGGCCAGAAGGGCCGATGGCGTGATATGGCAGCCTCGCTTCTGTCAGTCTGCAGCTGTGGCTACAACTGTAGCTTGCCTCCACCAGTGTGTGAATGGGTAGATGACTGGGTGTGTAAAGCACTTTGGGGTCCTCAGGAGACGGCGACAGTAGGGAGAATTTCATAGTTTGATCCAGGAGTTGATGCTGTCTCGCACGCTTTTGTACGAATTTCAGGATATTCGTCTGTGGGGCAGTTTGAACTCTTTCTGGCAGAGTAAGGATCACATCCGAGGTGATCAATTCAGAGAGATTGGGTCAGTCATTCGACTCGAAACTGCATCTAGCTGTGTGTCTGAGGTGAAACAGTATTATTCTACCATCTTTATATCACTGTATATTCATTGTATATTCAGTATTGTTGGTGGTCAGATCGGTTAATTTGCATAAAAAACAAAATCAGAAAAATACAAGAGGTGAAATTTGTCCGTGGAAACCAAAGTGCTCTATAAATGATGTTTAATGTGTTCTTCTTTACATTACGGTGTCTGTCAAAGGTCAGACATCACCTGAACTTTCCAACATTATCTCATGCAACAATAGCGTCTTAGTTCTTAGCCACAGTAGCAGCAGGTGTTTTGCATTTCTGATTATTTCGACTGTCTTTCCCTGGAACAGTGAGCAGCTATTAGCCAAAAGACCTGAACACTCACAGGTGCTACAACTTCCACAATCTCTTAGTAACTTGCAGAACTCAACGCCAGATCAAGATCATATACAAAGGAGAAGAAGCTGCTATCTGCACCTTTGTCTAGCATGTAAATTTAAGCTAACGAGGTATCTGGAGTGAAAGTTGTCATGCAAAACGTGCTGGAACAACATCAGATTTCTGCCGTTGCCACGCAGGGCTTAAAAACACGGTGGCTTCTGAGTGTAATGACCCAGCGAGTTAATTAGGCTGTTTGTTCATGATATTTCTAATCCCAGCACCTGCCATGGGATGTTTGAGTTTTCCCTTTATGCTGATTACAGCGGCATTAACGGTGGAGCAAGACAAACACCATTACCATACTAACACCATTTCTTATTTTGCACACACTGCATACAGTAGCATAAATTGGTTGTTGAAAGCATGGTGTGTGCAGAAGGTGGAAAAACAGAAGCAAGAGAATCTAACAGGTTGAGTTAGACAGGTCTGTGAGACGGATGTGAGAAGGCAGAGAGAAAAACATCAAAAACCTCTGACTCTGTCAGTCTGCAACATGACGCAGCAACGTTTTGCTGCATGTCAGCGGTTTGATCATCTACGCTATTCACCTGATAGAGCGCAGCACGTCACAGTTTATTTCAGGGAATTTGGAGCTTGAACAACCTCCCCCCTTCCTTCAAATGTCACAAGGCAACATATTCGCAAAAGCGCCTCAACGCGGGAGCACTTTTAAAGCTAAACCTCACGAGGCCAATTAGCTGAGGCAGTCTGCTCGCAGGTAAGAGTAAACGTGTTGTTTAAGCGACGAAAGGACGAGTGCCTATAACGCCCCTTGTTTTGCTTGTAAACCCTTAAACAAGAATGCCGGAGAAATGTCTGGTTTTGTGCGATTTAATTGGCCGTTCCCCGATGGGTTTCCAGCCAGGAACGCATGTAATGAGAAGATATGGAGGTTTATATTATATCCCGGTTCTGTTGTGTGTTTACCTGCCAGACTTTGCTAATAAAGCTCTCGCTCCAGCAAATCATAATTCACTGCACTGTTGGTGGAGCGTTGTTTGCCTTCAGTCTTTAATGATCCGCTCCACTGCAGAATGCATCGTTGTCTTTCTGTGCCTCAGTGCCTCGAACATCACCGGATCCTTGGTTTCAGGTGCTCAGGACAGAATCACTAATGTTTTATGGCTAAAGCAACTCTGCAGCTCTGCTAAGGACAAAGAGGTTTAGATATATATCCATCTTTTTTTCTATAACTGACTGTATCGTGAGCTGTGGCCGTCTCGCTCTGATGTCCCTCCCTTGCCTGAAAGTATCTAGTTTCAGAGGCTAAAGAAAATCGAAGCCTCCCCTCACCTCATTTTTTCCTGAAAGGGATGAAGACTGAAGCCAGAGAGATTCTTAGCTGAATTAGTGCCAGTTTGCACCTCCAGCGGATGTTGCTGTCAGCTATGTGAGGATCTTGTCATTTTCATTCTGTAGCTCTTTAGAAGTTTGCAGCTCGGTGGGAATTTTTTGGATACGTTTTCAAAGTGGGTCCACAGACCGTTCAGAACACCTCCCCACATGACCGTGCAGTCTTAGCAAAACCATGACAGGTCATGGCAGACCTCACAGGAAATCGATTTAGCAGACTTCTAGGGCAACAGGTATGTTTGTGTAATGAATGTGTCCCAAGATAAATCAATCCGGTGGTAAAACTGTCTAGTTTAAAACATACATTGTATATCAAAGATGAACCTGCACAAAGCTGCAATAACTCTAATAATGTTTAACTTTAAGCCTTGAAAGAACTAAAGCGGACAGCTAATTATAGATATAAAGCAACTGCTTTTACAACAAGAGGGGACTGCAGCTTCTGGGAATTATTTATTATTTTTACCTACAAGTGTTTGTTTTAATAGGTGTAAAACAAAGTGTTGTATGTTTAGCAGCCATGCATACATTCGTAAAAACCTAGAAACCTGCCTCTCATACGTCACTGCCTCTGAAGAGCTTGCTCTACACAACACATTGCCATGTAGTTGTCTTTGTCAGTGCGAGTGGTTGGAGTATGAATGGGGAAGTACCTCTGTGAACGGCCAGGCTCAGAGAAAGCACAGCCACTTGGCTCAAGGCTCTTTCAGAAGAAGACCTCTATTCACATAAAGACATTTTTTCCACCCAAACCTCCAATAAGTCTCAGAAGAATCACATATTTACTCCAACTTGCCTGTAGATTTATTTTTGTAGCACTGATATGTTCTTCAATATTTCTTTTTTCAATTTCTTTTGACAAGCAGACTAAATATAAAGCAAGAAGAAAAACATTCAGAGGTGATTTTGTAGTCACGGCGCATCAAAAAGTCCAAGGTTAGTTAATAAAGATACAGCGTTTCTTCGATATACTGCAGGTAAGCCTCGCTACAATTTCTTCATTATTTTAAAAAATGTCAGTGTGGCAAAGTGTGGGAGTTGATCTGTGGCTTTTACAGCCACCTAGTAAGAACTGCAGCCATGTACTTTTATTTCCCTCAAGGCTCATTTTTCCATGTTAGACAATTTAAAGTGAGGATCTCTCACCTTCGTTTCTCTCAGGAGGAATTGAAGGTCTCGGCCGCTAAGGATGCCGTGGTTCTTAACGTAGCCCGGGAGGTGCACGGTGCTGGTGCCGTGTACTGTGCCGTGAACCTCCATGTAGCTGTGAATGATGTCCAGGTACTTCTTCTTGTCCTAAAAAACAAATGGGGAGGAAATGAAGCAGATCAATTTAAATTAGGTTCAAAGCAGCATTCAAACGTCAACCTTTTTAGGTTAAACTGGTATAATTTAGAGACAAAATCTCCTCTCCTGCAAAAGCTCTTTGAATAGCAATTTCTGTTTGAGGGGATCAGTATCAGTATTTCATTTCGTGTCCTGGTGAACTTTTGTTCAGGCTACTCGACAGACCATCTGGCTTGAGTGGTGGGCTCAGCTAAAAATAGCACTGTAAAAGGAGCATCGGTGCACACAGTATCTGTTGTTAGTAAAGTCTACCTGATCTGTTATGCTCCTAAAGAAGAAGACCCAAAACCAAGTAATCCTGCTACTTTTACACTTAAAGTCATGCCTGGCCTGTTTCTACTGCACAGGAATGCTGACAAACTGATTATCAGGTCAAATGTGAAACATGGATAGAAAAACAATCTAATCTAATTTAAAGGGGCGTCTACTGATAACAGACAAACACATAGTTCCCCTGTGTTTTTGCCAGTGTTGTTACTTTTTTTTCTCTTCTTTTTAGCAATTTTACAATGGGGGAAAGGAGTTTTAAAGACAAACAGCTACAGCTATCCAATTGCATTGTGGTAAATGTAGGACAATTTTTTGATTTTAACTTGAGACAAATACTAGGCACTGCAAGTTGAGATATATCAGCTCCTTTTTCGGTAATTAGTTAAGCAACTTGCAGCCATACTTGCAGATGTTAAAGCGAGCCTGAACTGCAGATTCTCCACACTGGAACGAGGTTTAACTGTTTGGTTGGTGACATTTCACACCTGTTATTTTGAATCAAACAGACAGCACAAAGAGTTTGCGGTTTGGAGGTATTTCACACAGGTTTGAAGAGAGGACGGATATGACAGGAAGCAGTGCCGCCTCACAATAAACAGCATTCAAAGTGGTTTTCACTCTCTGTGTTTATACATTACTTTGCATTTAATCAGTTACTGCCTCTCTTCGGAGCCTCTTCATGTTAAAAGGGAGTTTTTCCTTCCCAGTGTAGCCAAGTGCTTGTTTGGGGGTGGGGGGGCTTGTCTGATTGTTGGGGTTTTCTCTGGACTACTGCAGGCTCTTTACCTTTCAGTGTAAAGCATACTGTTGCTGTGATTCAGTGCTACATTAATAAAACTGAACTGAATTTTCTCAGTTCATTCAGAGCAATAGAAGTCTACCAGCTGACATCAGATGCATGCCTCTCTACAAACTAATGTCAAGTAGAGGGACATGCAGCCCACAAAGGTGTCGTGGTAGATCATCCCTAAGCGTTGTTAAAGATCTCTTCCTGTTAAAAAGGAAGCTCTTCCTCCCAACTGTCACTAAGCCACATCAGATTGTTGTTTGCAGATTTAGATATGCAAAAGGTCTCAAAAGGACATGTGTTAGCTAATGATGAACAGAAGACACGGCAACATGTGAATTAGAAAAATGGGCTCTTTAAAAACTCCCAGTCAAAAGTTTTCTGGACTTGCTTTTGACATGGTTCTGCACATTATTCCTTATTTAGGCTATCATATTTAAGTTTCTCCCACAGAGAAACCCGCAGCAGGTGTTCGACTTTTAAAAACAAGGACATAACTGTTGTATAACCCAGCAACACTCGAACATAAAATGCTGAACTGAAGTGCAAAATATGTTTTTAACTGTATCCTGTGCCTTCTAAGCACTGAGCCCTGTGGGAGCGGGGTACAGTGCAGCTGAGCGCTCTTAAGGTAGAACCCTTCAGGGAGGCAGTAAGATGAAAGCTGCCACTCTTCTCCATCGTGATGTGAAGCCACAATTACCAGTATGTATGTGTGCGTACACACACACACACACACACACACACACACACACACACACACACACACACACACACACACACACACACACACACTTCTATAATGGAACATTATTGTTTACAAGAGCTTTAACACTCATAGAGAGGCAAGGCTTCACTGTTGTTAAAAGTATAAATCAGATATCCTACACACGAGCCTGCCTTTGAATCTGTTCTACCTCCAGGATCTGTTCCTGCTCTGTGCTGTTGTGTGTGTGTGTGTGTGTGTGTGTGTGTGTGTGTGTGTGTGTGTGTGTGTGTGTGTGTGTGTGTGTGTGTGTGTGTGTGTCTCCCACAGTACTTCCTTTTGGGGGTTAAATTTCAGGTAGTCGCTCGTCAGGGTCCCTGGAGGCCTGGCTATCAGATGCCTCCAGCCAGCCTGCTGTAACTAAAGCAGCCTCTGTGTGTGTGTGTGTGTGTGTGTGTGTGTGTGTGTGTGTGTGTGTGTGTGTGTGTGTGTGTGTGTGTGTGTGTGTGTGTGAGATGAAGTCCTAATTAGAAGGTGAAATCACTATCCTGTAATCTCCTCACTCAGGAGGGCTGAGCCAGGATTTGTGTGCGTGCCTGTGTGAGTGTGAGAGGGAGTGAGTGAGAAGGTCTTTACTAATCAAGGTTACTGGTAGGTATCTGAAGAGAAAGCAGAACAGCGTTGAAACTCTAACGCGATGCTGCAGGAGCTCAGAAGACGCTAAGGAAAAAAAGACGAGCAAATAAACTGCTGGTCTATAACTCTGATATTTTACAAGTTTGTCTTATTTAAAGCAATAATCGAAATACGTCTAATGCAGTCTGGTGATTCACATCAATATTTTAATTATGTACATATGCAACATATTTTTTACTTTTACATCAGTTTATGGTGCACTGATTGACTAAAAGAGCTGGGATTACTTTAAAAGCAGAGTTTTTGATGTTATGTTCATAAACTAATACTCTGAATATTACTGCAGTCGGTTGGCAGTCACGTCTTTTTTTATGACCAACAAACCCTATAATAAAAAAACGACTCTTGCAACTTTTACACAACAGCAAGACTGTAAAACACAATAAAATTCAAAAAACCCTCAAATGCACCAAGTGTCACAGTGTGTTCAGCAAGTCAATGTGCAACAGTGATAGCTCCTGCGTGACTAAATCATGGTTTAACTGTCTGTATGAACTGTGAAACCAAAGCTAACTGCCTTAACCGTGCATTGTTTCTAACGGCTAGCAGGGGGTGACGCAATGGCTCTCACGTTCTTGATAAGTGCATAATCAATTCAGTTTGTCTAAATTTTGTAGCTGATGGTCCCCATTAGAGTTAAAAACCAGGAAAAATCCTGTAGTGCAAGCCTACAGTATTAAAGTGTTAACGCCAAGCTGTCAGCTTACAGTCGCGCACTGTCCCTGGTCTTCACAGTCACATCATGCTCAGCTTCAAAACACCAAACTGATATGTGATGTCCCAGCGGTTACTTCGCTGTTTGCCATTCCAGGAAGCATGGGTGAGTATACGTGCTGTAAAATAAGTGTGCGACAGGTTGCGTCATCTGTAAGAGTGATTTGCAAATATGCAACTAAAAAAAAAAATCCACACACAATAGAAGGAAGAAGTCTGAAGGCAGCAGGATGTGAGCTTCTTTCTTTTTAATAAATGGGGACTGCTCCAGTAACCCTGATTGTATGCGGAGGATGAATACGCAGTCGACTGCTGCGGCCCTTCAGGCCACACTCAGCTTTGTACTTACTATCCAGATGTCTTCTAGAGCATGAAGAACATTACAAAAACAACGACGAGCTAGAGGAGCGTGACTGCAAAGTGGATCAACATTTTTTTTGATTTATCGTGGATTTCCTTGGCTTTGCTTTCCTGTAATGATGTTATGTCAACTTCTATTCATGATCCTATCTCAGCTGTCAGCACGCTGTGAATTACAAAGAAGTTATGACTTTAGAGCAGGCTCAAAGTCTTCCCCCTCTGACAGCCTGCGTGCATTTGGGCGAGCAGGGTGATGGGCGCCCGTCCGTACTGTACGTATATGTGTAGGTTTCAGAGCGCGTGTGATATGCAACGTGAAACCAGGGAGCACATCGATTGCGGCGGCCTTGAACAGGAGCACGTGCTCGGGGAGTTATAAAATAACTGCCTGAGCTGGCGAGGCTGATTGAAGCAGGGGGAGGAGGAGGAGGTGCGTTTTATGACCTTGTAAATCAGAGTGAATTTGTAAACCTTGGCTCAAAGAGGAAACAGGAGAGGAGGCTGCTGCTTTCTGTCGGGCTGAGGGATGAGTGTCCAGGGATGGAAGCAGACAGCGTGAGCAACACAGAATCGGAGAACAGCAGACCCACACACATTTTTGGTTTAAAGGGAATCTATTATGCTTTTATCTATTTCCTTTCATACACATGCACAGTTAGAACAGTGGCTTATATTAAACATGGATAAAAAAATAAGGCCAGTGTAAGTACAAGTGATCTCTGTAAGCCAAAAAGCTCAGGCTCAGGGTTTTTTTCTACTCTTGGCTCGCAACATCTCTACAAACCTATTTACAAAGAGGCAGCCAATCAGAAGAGGTTTTCTTAAAGGTAGAAGTTAAATTGCTTTTTTTCCAGACAGGTATAGGATAAAAAGAAGGATTATTTCAACTGGTAAAACACTGAGCTCCATACAGGGGTCTGACATGTTTAAAAAAGAAAATCACTGAAATACATGTACACAACTGTATACAGTCCTCCTAAACTTGATTTTGTTCTCAGGCCTCAAGTTAAAGAAAAGAGAGCAGACTGTTGAGTCGAGCAGTAACCTGAAGAGGTGTGGGGAGCTTGAGCCTCATCAGAATGCAGACAGATGCATGCGCTTCGACTTACATGACCATCAAACCGCCTTCAACATCGAACATCAAACGCACCTCAGATAGGCCCCCTCCCCAATCTGAAATTATTTCCAACTGAGAGACTCTGGGGGCCCCAAAACTGCAAGCTTGTCAATCAAAGCAAAGAATAAAATGAAGTTTAAAAAAAAATCACTTCAGCCATTCTTCAGAGAGACGGGAAAAATCATTTCCCTCCACAACACTCAGACCCATTCAACACACATACTGCAGTGATATACTGAGCTTTGGAGAAAGGCTGCAGTTTAAGTGTGATGTGTACACGGTGCTGCAGAGAGGTTTAT